AAAATAATTATTTTTAATCTATTATCCAATTGCCAAATCTACCTCTCAGGAGTGTTATAATGTGAAAAAGACTGAGAGAAGGGGAAGAATTATGACAGCTGCCTTGAATTTATACTAAATAAATGAATGTACAAGGAAGCAAAAATCACTCTTTTTCAATAGAAGAAAAGCCTTGAGCTCTGTATTCAGACATGCAACATCAAAGTGAAAACCTGAGTCTTGTCTCTCAGAGACCCCTTGCATGTTTTTCCTAGGGGTCTTACCTCTCATCCACATTGAGATAATACGAAGAAAGATCCAGGCATCTATGTGGCTATTGGAAAGAAGTTAGAGATTAATGCATCAATTATTTTAATTGTGGAAGGCAAATTAAGCTAACTTGAAGATGTGGCCTTCTGACGCCCTCTTTCTGGCAACCAGCATGCGTTCTTTAGCCCACATCTTGGCAGCTAATGTTAGCTGGGGAAATATCGGGGCTGTAGGTTATGAACTCTGATACATATATAAGTTAATGCAGAAATGAACTTGACCCCAGTTCTATATTGCTATTACCCAGTATAAGAAATTGTAATTTTCTGGATGCCTCTACAAGGCATATATCAATAATATAAGGGACAGCTGGTGTTAACTGTGGACATATTTATTCAGTGGTGTTCTTGTTCTATCTGCCTCCTAGTTCTCTCTGCATAAATATTTTTGTAAAATCTGAATAATTATGAGTAAGCTGTCATAACCAAGAGGTGATCATATATTTTCCATGATAGCATGTGAACCTTTGTGATGTATTGTATGGAATGAGCTAGCTGTTACGTTAAAGCTTTTGTCCAGAATCCAACTGGTCTCTTCTGTCAATGGAAGCTTGTTTCAGCACAGCAGGAGGGGGTGGTTCAGTGATTCCTCCCACCTGTATTCCCTTGTGTTCCCCAGATCTGCTCCAGCAGGTTGTGGGACAATCCAGAGCAGACTTTGGGGTTTTTGGTGTCTGCAAGGGGAGAGGGAAACCTTGGAAATCACATGCCTCCCTTTTCTCTTGACAGAAGCCTTTTGTTGGTGGAGGCAAACTAACTGGATTCTGTGCTTTTGTTTTAATTTGGATAAATTATCAAGCATGTGGCTGTGTTCATTTTCCAGGTGACAAGGAGAAATACCTATTTTAAAAATACCATGTTTCTAAGACTGCATTCTTGGTACCCTCCAGATGTTTTGGACTATAGAGTTTGTGACCTTTAGTCCTGTCTGCTAGCGTGTATGGGAGCTGAAGTCTACAGCATGTTAGGAAAGGCTGCTATACTCTATGACCAAGGGTATGTCTCACTGAAGTTAACTAGGATTTACTCCTGAGGGGGTATGCCTAGGATAGCACTGTGTCATCGTGCCTTGATTTTCCATCTTGATTAAAATGTTCCAGTTAAGTCTCCTGATGTCTGACCATTTTTGTTTACAAACATCCATATAAATAGACCTATTATTACTCCAATAAATGTGTTTGCATTTAATTAAACATTTGTCTTAATGTTCCCATTGCTATTTTAAAATAAAACAAAATTTAAAATACTCATACTACTATTATATTTTTACACTATTGCATGTAATACCATTTATAAAACTAAGGGTGCATGAACTTAAGCGATCTAATTTTTGCCATTTATCAATGGGTTGCTTCATTTGAATAAGTGTCTATCTCTTTTGATCAACCTGAAAAATTTGCATGCTATGCAGCAGCCATATTCTATACTTTATTAAATATCTGTCAATTATAAATATCAAGGTTTTACATTAATGTCAAGATAGTACATCAAAAATTCATGGAATATGTGACTTTTTCCAAGGGTATTTAATACTTAATGCATTTGTGTCATTTTTCTTTCTAGATATATTGACAGGTTTTATTAAGTGTTTGTTAGGGAGATTTCATTTTTACTGAGGAACTGTAAAGAGAAGCTGCATGCTAAATCAATTTTTTAATCAGAGTATTCTTCTCTTGGTCATTTCAGCTGAGATATGCTAACATATGTTAAAACATTGGAAAGCATTCTCAGAAATACGGCAATTAATTACTTGGTAACATTATTCTCTAATGTATATCTTTTGCTGCGAGACATTATCATTTTGTATTATAATCCAATAGTATTTCCTCTGTTTTGTTAAGGGGGAAAGCTTGTTTTTCTAGAAATGTACAAATAGCTGGAGTAAGGAATTGCTCTATAAATAGCTCTCTTGGAAAGTACAGGTGGCTTTTAAAACTATTTTATAAAACGGTATAATTTATTGTCCATTGCTGTTTTAAATAGTTACTGTTTAATTGTTAAATACCAGTTGTGTTCTGTTCTAAAACTATATAATTTTTGTATTATTTTAGCATTAGTAACACATATTGAAAAAGGATAGTAAAAAGTAGAGGCATATCTGCGCAAAAACCCCATTGTATCAAAACACAAAACCAGAGTGGGGCTTTGCATTCTTATAATACTTTTTAAGAGGGCTTTAAGAAAATAAACGTCTGTCTCATTTTAACTGCCTATACTTGTGTTTCTTTAGGCCATTGAAGTATGGAAGCAACAGGTTAATAGAGAAAATCAGTGTATTATACCTTGATCACAGTGGGGGGGGGGTGAGCATATTTGTATTGATTGCTATTCAGCAGAATGTGGTCTGGACCCAGAAAATGTTAGGAAAGACCTACTGCAGTAATGTTGTCATCCCTAGGCCTCTGGTGAGCCTCTGCTCCATGTCTTAGCTATAGATGTATGTGGGGTGGAACAGTTTTAGTGGTGGTACCTTTTTAACGGATTGGTCTCCCCGAGAAAGTAATTTTCTACTTTTTTCATCAAGTTAAGGCTGGTCTGCTCATTCTAAAAAATTTACTGTATTTTTATGTCACACAATTATATTTAGTTTGCTTTAAACAACTGCTGATTTTATTACTTTGTTTTTGAAACATATTTTTTTCTGTAGAATTCCTTACATAATATTTTGTTTAAAAATTATTTATGAGAATTAAAACACAGACATGTGTTCTCACACGTGTGAAAAAGTCACTATCTAGTATGAACTACCAATAGCCTGAATGTCTCTCTTAACTGATGATGTTCCATCTTGGAGAAGATTGTATTTTTGTGTATTTTTAAAACAAAAATTCTAAGATTAATTTCTGTCTAAAATGTATTCTATTCTGATGCCAGTAGGTGGAGTCAGAGCCTTGCTAAGCCATTTTTCCTTCAGAGAAATCCTAGTATGTCTGTTAATAGGAACAGTCATTTTCTCAGTTGAACTTTACACAGAAATTAACTGCAATCATGGGTTTGGTATTATATAAGCTTATTCTATGCTTCATATGGAACTTGTCCACAGCCAGACAAGCTGTAGACATTCTAAGTTTTCCTGCATGACTTAATGCAAAATGTATTGGTAATAACGAACTACTTGTGAAATTTGTTGTCTTCTTCAAGCCAAATTTTACCAAAAATAAACTATATGCATAGTTTACCAAAGATTATTCTTGAAATTGTTAATACTTTACTGCTGTGAATGGTAATGGGTGTATCATTTTTCTTGTATTTCAGGGTTGAGATATATATATTGTGTTCATGATGTGACTATTGAGATGTTTCTCCTAAATAATGTCAACTGTGGCACTATGTTGAGAAATGGTGCGTCTACAGATATGCTAAGCTTCGTATTAGTTATTTTTAAAATACTCATCCAAAGATAGAGAAATCTGAAATGAAATTTTGTATGGAAACCAAGTTGTGTATTTATTTATTAGTTGAGTGAGGCCTGGTTTTCAGAGCTAGTCCATCCACATGTCTAATTTAAGGGGTTGGAGAGAGGAGACACCTGGGACATAACACCCAATTGACAGCCTTTTGTAGTATATAATTTGCCTAAAATTGTGCACTGAGCACAAGCTTTTGTTTTCTAATTGATTTACGGTTTGAGCCACTTTTACCTCATCCCCTACTGTCCTGCACACAGTGCCAGCAAGTACATTACTGTGAGAGATGATAAATTACCATGCACTTGTGATGCTAATGTATCAAGAGTACAAAAAATGAGCACACTACACAGAGCTCCTTGCTTTAACAATGTTGCAAAGATACAAATGAGTTTTGCTTGAATGTATCAGTAGAAATAACCGTTCATTTGATCACTTACTGAAACCTGCCTACTCAACTGTAATTGAAATGGAATATTAAAATGATAGTGTTAATGGCTCTCAATCTCTTATGGGGGTAAAAGTTTTTGAAGCATTTTTAGAAGTCCGTGGTTCTTTTTAGCTGTTGTATTTCAATGTGTTTGAGACAAAGTGGCCTTGAAGTAGTTTAGTAAGTCAGATGTCCAGAAAAGAACGAATTCTTCGTAATTAAAATTTCTTTTAAATCATTTTTAGTTCCTCATAATAATTAAGGTCACTTTTCTTGCCCCCTTTTCAGACATGTAATGTGACCAGTATCACAAAGAAAGAAATCAAAGTGCTTCATTAGTCTCCCCCCCCCCCCCCGCAATGATTGCTGCGGCACAGTCCATCTGCATAACTGCTTCAACATTTTAATCTCTATGTCTGAATTAGGCTTAACCTCTGCATTTAAAAAAATGCATCCAAGGAAAGATACTTAAGATCAAGTATGCTAAAGTACAGATTTAAATTTCCAGGGTAAGAGAAGAGGACTGGAGCAATCTCATTTTTAGACAAGTTTTAATGTGTAGCATGGAGATGGGAGTCCACCTTAAATTCTTATGTGTGCTGTCTGTGGGTTCCAGTCTTTGAAATATGAAGAAACAGATTTATGGCGGCTGCTGGGCACAACAAATTAAGTTGACAGTGATGTATGAGAGCATAATAGCATGATGATCCCTCTGTAGCGCGGCTGGACGCCTCCTGCTTCATTTGGCTCTTGTTAGGATCTGTTAGGCAGCTAAATAATGAAATTCTGCTGACTGATTTCTTTTTGTTTTTTGTTTTTCCTTTTCACCTCTCCTCTAAATCCTGTATTTCTCAGACCCATCCTAATGCCAGCAAACTGCCATTAAAGGATTCTTTCACATATGATGATTATAGGTTTGTATCCCTTTTTATATAAAATAAGTTTTTCAAATGTTTCAAAATAACTTTCAAATGTTTCCCCAGAAAATAACCAATCATGAATCCCTGGTTGAGTCACAGTAGTCATATTAAAAATCATTGAGTGAAATTATATAACAAATTTAGATTTTAACTTCATACATTTTGTTCACTAGCTAAGCAACATTAGTTTGATGGCTTTAGTCTAAATTGTTTTATGTTACAGTCCTTCTAAATATCCCTTGTAAATTGTTTTTCTATCAGTAAATTCAGTAGTTGCTCTTTGACACTATGTACAATTGTTAAAATAAAAGTAAAATGGCCTGAAAGTTGATGGGGCCTAGCTTACAATGGTAGAAATGATACCTAAAACATTTCTACATCTGAATAATCTCCCAGAAGAGAAAATCTTAATTTTCTGATTTCTTCTTAGGGACATTAAAGCCAGTACATTGAGCCTATGCAATTGTGAAAAATTGATATAATTTATATAGGGTTTATTTATTTATTTATTTATTTATTTAAAACATTTCTATGCCGTCCCATCGCAACAAAGCCTTGGGGCAGCTCACAACACATAAATACTAAAATTATACAATAAACAATACAATATTTGTTTTGCTGGTTTTTTAAAAGGCTGACCTATTTGGCTTTTGCTTTCCAAAAGTTAGATAATTGGTATTAATAACATGTAAAATTCTGGTACAACAGTAAACACTTAATGAAAGTACAAATGGGATGTTATCTGCTTTTGGTAAGAAGCTGAGAAGAATTGTCCTAAGATGTGTAATCTCAGTTGGAACTTTTTATGTTGCTTCCATTTAACGAAATATTTTTGGTTTGTAGGTGGGCAGTTTCTTCTGTCATGACACGACAAAACCAGATTCCTGCTGAGGATGGCTCCCGGGTTACTTTAGCTCTGATTCCTTTATGGGATATGTGTAATCACACCAATGGGCTGGTAAAGATACTGTTTTTATGGCTTTTTGCAGGAACATTGAGTGTTTTCATATACTGCAGAGCTAATATTTTTCACATTTTAATATCTCATTTGAATTGGAGGTCTTATATGGAAGGAGTTGCACTGACAAACTTTACACTTTCTAGACAGGTTTCACACTCTTGTATTAAAATGTAAATTTTAGCCCTACACAGAACCTGGATACCTGATGGAGCACCTTCTGTCATATATACCTTGCTGAGGTAGTTCCATTTTCCTTGATGGTGCTGCATTTTCCTGGGATCCAGTTTGCAGGAATTTGAGATAGTATATTCCTGATAGCACACTGGTTGTGAAAATTCTGCTGCTCTCCTATGTGGTTGGTGCCAAAGGATACACGCTTTTGGTGCCAATTTAAGATGTAAATGTTTATGCAGGCATTTGATTCAATTTGGTTGTCTGCATCTTACAAACTTACTGCCTGTGGTTCTGTTCTTGGCTGATTTATTCTGCATTATTGCACCCTACTTTGAGATTATTTTATAATGAGAAACGGGGGAAGTTTGTATAAATAAATAAGTAAACACAAAATGGAAACTGATCTGTGTAAATGCTACATCTCATCTAGTTTTAAGCCTAGGGCACGGCCTTTCTCTTTTATTTGTGTTATATACAGTGTTTAGTGATTGTGTGTGCATTAGAAATAAATAACTTACATAAAATGCAAAGAATGAGCAGTGGTCAAAACCCCCAGAATATATTCAGCACTTTGTAATAAGAATCCTGGCTACCAGCTGATTTAGTTAAATATTTATGTTATTACAGTACATCCAGGGCTTAATGCTTCTCTGGTCAGTATCAAGTATGGTCGAGTTTCTCTAGACTACTGTTCTCTACTGGAGAAACCTCACATTTGACAGTGGAGTTCAGGGGATCAGGATCAATCATGCTTTTTGATATTTTGGCAAGCTCACTCATACGTAGTTCATCTTGTTCTGCCCAAGTGCATCCATTACAGAACTCTGAAACCTTCCACTGCACTTTTTTATTTTAGTGTGACCTTCTCAGTGGCATATTGCTTATGTCTCTGGTCCCCGCTGTCCAATCACTGCCAGCTTCCAGATTGGAAAAATAGGATGGTCCAAAGAATGCAAAAGTCAGCCATTCCTGAGATTATACAATCTCAGATGATAATATTTTAAACTACATAATGCAGAAACACTAATCTTCGGACCCTAAATTAATTAGATAAATCCAACTTATTCTCCATTTTCCTCTCATTTTTTTAGTGCAAGTCTGGTCTAATTATCCATTCAGAGTTTACACTTCAGTCATGAGAATCTTAAGTGAATGGACTAATAAATGACTTCAGTAGGAATTTTAAAAGAGTAGATATTTTGCACTTTTCAGTGACAGTGTATTATTGTTCTAGAGATAGTGGTTCAGGTATCTCTCCTGAAATCAAGAACTAGATCTCTGCCAAAGCTGTAACTTGCAAATTTTGCATTCCCTCACAATTACATAATGGTAATAATCCTGTATAGATCATACTTCAATACAGTTCCCTGCAAGAGTGAATGAAATTATTCAACACCAATTTAGCAGTTAATCTTGTTGGATGGAACAGTGTTTACTAAAAATCTAAAACCAGTCTGGCTATAATACCAGTATATCCAAGCATTAGTCCTCTTGTATTTTTGTGACTGTACTTATTCCACCACAGACATTCTTGCAAAAAAAGTTGCAACTTCTGGTAAAGGGACTACTAAGAATAGTCTGTTTTTCATCCTACCAGCCTTTGGTACTTGCTTTTCTAGAAGTCAGAAAAATATGTGTGAAGATAATTAATTCTTTTCTAGCAGTGCAATTTTGTGCATAGATAACCGAACTTAGATATGCACAGAATTGCACTGAGTCCCATTTAGGATATTTATTCCCAGGTAAGTCTCCATAGTCTTACAGCGTAGTTCTACTTGTTCTGCACATCAGAATGCTTATATGGAAGCAGTACTATTGCTGTTTATATAAAGCTTTAACACCTAAAACAGGTCACATGCATATTCTCAATGTACCAGTTCTGCTAGTGTTATCCCTAGATTGTAGTTTTGGATGGGGTGGATACAGGAAAAGCTGAGGTAATTGGTTGCCCAAGAAACTAGTGAGTTTCTGATTTAGGTAAATATTGAACCATGGCTATACCAGCTCATGCTCTTAGCTACCATGCTACATGAGCTTGCAAGTACTATTAATCTCAGTTAAACATCTCCCTGTGAACTTGGGAGCACAGCCTGGGCCTCTGTTCCTCTGCTGATGATCCAGGAAATCCAGGCTCACTGTATGAAAGCCGGAAGACAGGTGGTGTTTCCTACTCTGAAGTCTGTTGCAAAGTTGCTTCTGAGATGTTTCTCCAGTCAGTCAGCTATAATGCGTCTTTATTCTTTGCTCTACCCCACGGGCCCTTTTTCTTCCACAAGCTAAATAATAAAAGGCTCTTTTGGTTTTAGTTGGAGCTGTGTCCACCCTGCTTTTTCTTGCTTCTGACACTGCTAATTAGATCAACCTGCTCTAAGAACTCTGTCAAGAATACTGTCTTCATGCATTTCTCATTGTTATCTTTTAGCAGCATTGTGACTTGACAGTCAAATTGGGTACTGGTGCTGACAGAGGTTTAGAGCCCAGTGGGCAGGAAAAAATAATAATTTACAGCAAAAGAACCCAATAACATTGGGATTAAAATGATAGAAAAGCAGCACTAGAAAAGGCTTATGGGTCATAAAATCTTTCCACTGCTCCTCAAGTGGAGAAAGAAAGGCAACATATTGCCTTTTTCCTGGAAATAGGTGCAGTTTTTGTACAGAATTGTTTTTCCCAACAAGGGCTTCCCCTGCACAACCACATGTGCATGCATGCACATACACATATTGTTCCTCACCTTTCCAATAAGAAAAGAACATCCAAGGTAGCTTTATATTGATTATTTACTTTCTTAGTCATCTCTTGCTTAATTCCACAAGCATATTTTGTACTGTTTGTAGTTGTTACAGTGATCGGCATTATGTCCCTAATATTTTTCACTATTCTTGGCTTCTGTAAAATGAACTTACACGATGGTGTTGAGTGCTTATGGCAGTTGAGCTTTGCTTGCTTGTAATATTTATTTATTTAAAGCATTTTTATCCTGCTCTTTAGCTAAAAAGACTCCCAGAGTGGCTTACATACAGTCAGTAAACAGAACTGCCCCCTGCCCACTAGTTTACAGTCAAGGAGAGAGGGAATATGATAGGAGAAGAAAACTAGCTACTTTGGGTAACATTCTGTAAAGTTATGTAGTAGTTATAATGACAAATTGGAAGGGAATCAGTTCAGGAAGAAGAAGAGCCAAATGTAGTTGGTGTCTGATGGAGTGGCCAGCCTTCCACGTCTTTCCCTGCTTCAGCCTGATGGAATAGCTGCTGCTGTGGCTTTATTTGTGTTCTTTATGTGAAGTGTAATTGGAAACAAAATGTCAGGATGGTAAACCACATCCTTTGTTCACTGTATTTTAAAGACATAGGTGGCCATGAATTCTAAAAAAGTGATATATGTGTGTGGGAGCAGGTTAAAGCTTATCACTGAGAAATTCTAAGTTCTGAAGTACTTTTCCTTAATTAAATGCAGTAAGCCGCATTCAGATGCTTCACTTAGCAGTTCATGATAAAACTAGAGCTTTTTCTCCCTGGTCTGGGGATTGTTAAACAGTGAATTGTATTCTTTCAAGATAATTGATGGCATGCTTCCAGTGAGTTTGAGTAATTTATCGATCACTATGAATTGCATTACACCTTCGCACAGGGTGTTGCCAGCTTTGCCCCCTGCCCCACAAAGGGTGCCATGTATTTTACTTGGGTCCCTGTCTTGCGTCGGATGCAATGACACTCAAGCATCTTTGTTCTCATACGTGGGTTGTCATGCCTTTTATGAATGTACTGCTTTGCCAAGGGTATGAGATGCCTGTGGGCTTGCAACCCATGGTGGGTGGTTGTGTCATCTGAACCTAGACAATGTGGCCAAACACCCAGTGAGCTGCTTGATTAAAATGGCAAAACTCCCATGCCATTCCAGACAATGGTGCCTGGTGTCAGGAGGCACTGTCTGAAGCTTTTCTCTGCCTGTGGTGGCACAGAGTGGCCATCTTTGTGGGGCTCTGGAGGAGACCTCTCAAGCTGCCCAGAAGGATGGCACAGGCCCCTTACCAGAGGCAAGAGGACATCCTCGCTGAGAGTTTTACTCTCCAGATGCAGGCAAGGATAGGCAGGAGTGGGTGACCCTCCTCCTGCACAATAAGTCTCCTCTCAGAGCGAGGCAGGGTGCTTGATCCGCTCAGTGGCAGACCAGGCACCCGCAGCTCTTGGGTGAGGGTAAAGCTCTTGGGTAATAGCTGCCAGTCTGCTTGGCAGGTCTGCCCTCTGCTCCCAGCTGCCCTGCCTGGATGTTAGAAAGCTGTCCATAGGGCAATGAGTTCAGCTTCCATTCTCAGCTATGTGCATCAGGCTGCCCACTGCCCCAGCAAATTGCCCCAGCTGAGTCTGGAAGTTGAATTCTTGGCACATTGGGGCAGGAGCCCTCTTTGCGCAAAGGGCAAAAATAATAGTATCAATTAAAATATGCCATGAAGTACAGTGAGTTTCTCTTTCAGCTTCACCTTCAGAAGCTTTGACATACAACTCCCATCATTGCTTATTCTGGCTAGGGCTGAAGTTACTCGTAAGCCAAAACTTTTGGAGCACTACAGGTTGCTTGCCCTTGCCCTAAAGGATCAGCTTGCAGGTTAGGCATACCCTGTTACCAGTAGCTGTAGTGGCATTTGTGGTGTGTAGTACCTTTCATCACAAAAACTGTTGTGCCAGCTGCATCCTCTCCTGGGCAGAAACAATGCAGAAGCTAAGCTGAGAAAAGTTAGGGCAAAAAATGGTTTTCATTTTAATAAAATATTTTTCTTTAATGTATCATCTTGATTATAACCTCACATATCTTTCTGTTCTAACTTGGTTATTAGTTATTTGACATTTCCTCATGATGTAGAAGGGAATGTTTCTCTGGAGCTTAATGAATGTTGAGAGCTATAGGAAATGTGCTTATGGCTTTGGAGAAATGCAGGTCTGAACTTGCAGTCTGAAGTGTCCATTAACTCTTTGGATTTTCTCATGGTTCAGAGCCTTTGGCTTTGGCATTCTCTTTCCCCAGCTCCCTCCCCACTGCTGCATTTCCCCTGAGTGGCTGTGCTGTGGATTAGCTGGGAGCACGATGCCACTCATTATAGGAATAACAGTCTGTGGGAGAACAGGAAACAGATTTGTAGAACTTAAAAAGTCCAGCACACCCAAAGCTTAAGATTTGTTCTTATTCAAGAATAGGTTAAATAAACAATATTCAAAAGGAGGCATTTTCACCAGTGCAGATGGGGCCAGAGAACAGAGAGAAACAGTTACTGAATATATAAAAAAGGATCAGCATGGTCTTTAAGTGGTGATCAGCATTGCAAGACGCCATGGAAAGTCATCCCTGGTGCGAATAGCAGTCCAGCAACAGCACACTTTAAAAGATCTTGCAGCACTTCTAAACCTGGAAATTGAAAGCAGGGAGCCACAGTGCCCATCTAACAAAGCAATCCAACGCTCATCAAACTTCTGCTGGTGGGACCTCTTGCATTTTCAAAGACTTGCCAGGCTCTTGATGGCAGGCTGGACATAACAGGAAAGCAGGGCTATCCCCCCCCCCTTTTTTTATTTTTATTTTTTCCTTACATTAGACTCTCTCCAGGTCTGGTCTGAATAGTCTCCCATGTTCAGAGCATGATCAAGGACTAAGAGAGCTGTGGCTTTGGCAGGTCCTCTCTCCTCCTCACTTGTTTTACCCCTTTGTGAAAGACAAATGTTGAACCTCAAGGAAGAGGTTACTGCAAACATTTCCATAGTGATTTGGAAAGGAGGTCTGTGCTCGGAAAGGAGGTCTGTGCTTGGAAAGGAGGATTTTTCTCTCTGAACTCAGAGGTGTCTTTACATTGTTGAAGAGGAAAATTCACGCAATGCTGTGGTCCCCAGGACATCCTCCTAGGATGATAAGATTGTGCTCTAAATGAATTAAAAGCCCTACAGAAAGAAACAGACTTCAGAAAGTTGTCTGTGGGAAATAAATAGGGTTTGAAACATTGTGTGGATGAGAATTAAAAATGAATGCAGTCAGGAAAGTTACACATGCCATAAAAGCAGCCAGAAAATATTAATGTATATAAAGCTTTTTGTAAACTGCCCAGACAGTGTCTGTTGCTGGCTGGATTTGAAATATAAGCTCACAAAGAACACTGAGACACCTAAATATAGGTTTGTTATCTAACTAAAAATGTCTTGATTGATGAATTAGTGAAGGGAAGTACATTCCTATGGCTGCTAAACAGTGTCTAGATGGCCATAGGATTTTTTGGAGATCCAGCGAGATCTCCATCTTCAGAGTGGCCCCCACACCCCAGAGTTGGTATGGAAAGAACTGTGCGGCTACATCTCTGAGGTCACAAGAGAGACAGTGAAGGATACAGGCGATGCCAAGACATGAAGTGCTATGGTAGCTTCATAGCCTCCTTTCCTCCCACTCCAAAGCACCTGAGTTAGATGGCCAAAATCTAACTGCATTGCAGGGAAGGAGGACGACTGAGGCGATGTTTGCCTCTTTGCTGCTCCCACCTTCAGTAGGCTGTCTGTAATCCTCCAGGTTCAGAGGACTATGGACATCCCAGTTGGATTGTGCCCTTAATCATTTAAATGTGCATATTGACAAACACAGGAAGCTGTCTTTACAGAGTCAGACCATTGGACCATTTAGCCCAGTATTGTTGACACTGACTGGCAGCAGTTTTCCAAGGCTTCAGACAGGAATTTCCTCCTCTGTACCTGAAGGCGATAAAGATTGAACCCAGGGCCTTCTGCATTCAAAGCATGTGGTCTACCACTGAGCTGCATCCCCTTTTCTGAGATGGCAGTACTTAAAAATAATCACCAGGTTTTTTTGAAAACATTCCTCTCTTTTATTAATTGAACATTTTATTTCTAAGGCTTTTGAATTCCCTTGTAAGCGTCACAAACAACGTGTGTTTACAAACTTCCAGAATGTTGTTCTGCATTAGGATGGATTCCTGTTATCCTTTCTAATGTGGCATCATATGTAATTGAGCTTCCCTTTACCTGTATGTTACGAAGGTGACTGGAGCTGATGGGTGCTTCCTAGCATATGTGTTTGTACTTTTCCTAGCAACTATTCTGGGCATGGAGATTATCGTAGCTGGAGCCATCATTGTTCACTAGCCTTCTTGCTAGTGCTACTTTTCCCAGAGGTAATGGATTGCTTCTTCCCATCAGCAACTTCCCACAAGCTGTGGGAGTAGGTTGTCTGCTTGCCATGGGAGAAACAGCCATTGGTGGAAAATCAGTGAGCAAGAGTGGCTCTGGCTAAGATGCCCTCCATGCCCAGAGTGCCAGCTAAGGCAAGAGGAGAGCAAGCATGCTGGGAAGTGCTCTCTAGTTGCAGCTGCTCTGTTTTAGCAGTTGTAATACCGAGTCTGTTTTCCTGTTTTGGAGAAGGACAGAAGCGGAAAGTCACTTGATAATGCCTACTCTGATAATAGTATTTGCATAGGACCTTAGAAGCTGCTTCTGATTTTAAAAAAAGGTGGTGGTTCTTCTGAAGAAAGAATTCTAAATATGCTAATAACTGTTTTTCTTTCCCCCTGTCTCTTCATTAGATTACTACAGGCTACAACTTAGAAGATGACCGTTGTGAGTGTGTAGCTCTTCAAGATTTTAAGGCTGGTGAACAGGTAACCTAGAAATGTGTGTGTAGAAGTACTGCATGTAGAGTTGCCTTGAAGAAAAGACGTCCCATACAACCTACTGGCTACTTAGTAAACATGAACGATTTTAGTTTAGTTTCATGAATTTTGCTAACTTGCACGAGATGTGTTCTTTTGAGACCATCCTTATAAATAGGTTGTTGAAACGTAAGGGAAGCATTTTTCAACTAGTAATCGAAAATACATTTGTCAGTACAAAGAGAAATGTTCTGTCACCATATAAAGCAACCTTATCATTTTGCCATAAGTAACTCAACCATTTTATGTTGTGAATGATACCAGGCTGGTAGAAAGGTTCAATCTGTCTTGGATGAGGTTGCTTAAAAGACCTGACCTGAACATGATCAGTTGGACAACAACTGTTTGTTCAGCATCTTGCAATTTGACATTATTTAATTCTCATTCAGCAACTTCCTGATTTCTTACCACTTACCTGTCCAGAAAATAAAAGATGATGTCATAACCAATTCAGCTGTCAGGATCTGTTTTCCAAGGGATATAGAGATCCTTTTAACAGCCATCACTATCTGTCTTCAGCATTCCATTTTAATATCACTGAGACACATGTTCAGTATTACATGTTGACCATTAACTTTTGGACATCCCAGCTGTGGTATATAAAAATTGCTTGTTAAGCTGTTGGTAAAATATGCTGTCAGAAGAATGTGAAGCAGGCAGCTCACATACACTTACAGGGAGCTGGTTTGCACATTAAGCTAAAAACTGTTTAGCATTATGGGGATAAGTGTAAATTAGCCTAAGCAACACATTAGGCTCACATGCTCCCCCTCCCCTTCCACTGCAGCTAGTAGAAGGTCTTTGACAGACTTTCCAGCTGGCTTATTAACTATGGACCAGAGGTCATGGTTAAAAATGTGTTCTCTCTTCTTTGTTCAGAACTGATCAAAATAGACCCTTCTTTCTTGGTCAAACCATTTGATAATTCTGGTATAACCTTCTGCTCATGTTATGGTTCTGGGGTATTGGGACAAAGCTGCACTTGTGTGTGAACTCTTTTGCATGTGAATTCTGGTGCTTCATGCAGTTCTGAAGGTAGCCAGTGGGAGAGCTTTAAATACATGGAGAAAGGACCATATGTACTAGTCTAGAACAGAAATGTATTGATGCTTCCACCATTGTCAAATGTTTGAGCAAAAGCAATGGGGGTGTGTTAAAATTTGCACCGTGTATCATTTAAGGATAGTATTTTTCACAAGCATTGTGTTTTCCTACACTATACTATCAGGGTTGTGGGGGGATTGGTCTGATGTGCCATTTGTCGTTCCTAGAGTTGATCTTAAGCTATTTTTCTGTCCCTTCACTTCTCTTTTCATCCTCCTAGATTTACATTTTTTATGGCACTCGGTCAAATGCTGAATTTGTGATCCACAGTGGGTTTTTCTTTGATAATAATTCACATGACAGAGTGAAAATAAAGCTTGGAGTGAGTAAAAGTGACAGGCTGTATGCTATGAAGGCAGAGGTCTTAGCTCGCGCTGGCATTCCAACGTAAGTCAAACTGAAAGAGGCTGCTTTTATCTTAAAATATTTCAAGCTTTAAAGTCCAGTAGAACATTACAGCATAAGTGTTGTTCAGTAATGTAGGTGGAGTCTAATATCTCTCTCCTATATATTTTTCTGGAATTGCTGTTATAAAGCATGTTTACCAGTTATAAAGCATGTTTGCCAGCATCCTTAGAGTCACTTAATTATCTGTTAGGGAATGGGCTAGTTTGCTATTTTTACTCTCTGCTTTCCCTCATTATAGAAGTACTGTCATGCTCTGTTTGTGACCTTTAATGTTTCCAACATCCTTCATTTTTGAACTATAAATTCCAATACATTGTGTTAGTTTTAAACCATAATATTTTTCATTCAGACAAGTGTATGATATGGAGTCCCTGTTTTGGGAGTGGATTGCTAGCCGCCTTACTAGATTGAACAGGATTTCTTCTAATGAATTTCTCAATAATTACTGACACTCAGTGTGTCCTAGGAGTGCTGTTCACAGTTTGAAGCTTGGAAATGAAATTTGTATAGGTCTTAGATTGTGATACCTGAAGGCAGACACAAATGTTAATAGTAATATTTTACTGGCATATTGTACAGGAGAAATTGTTCGATGTTTATCTGAGAGATGTTGGAACAGCTTCAGTTTAATGCTTAGAAATTGGACTGACCCTTTTATATCTCCACTAGAAGAATAAATGAATTATAAATTAAGGATTTTCATATTACATAATCAAGCTGCAACAGACTGACTTCTTGTTCCCTATTTTTGTTAGTTCTAGTGTTTTTGCCTTGCATTCAACGGAGCCACCGATCTCTGCCCAGCTTCTGGCTTTCCTTAGAGTGTTTTGTATGACTGAAGGTAAAAAGAGAAAACCTTATAAAGATTTGTATTTAATTTGTTCTTTTGTGTTGAGCTTACAATCATAAAATTGGATTAAGGAAATTTCAGCCTTACAGTCAAATCGGAAGTCACTGGCCCACAAAAAAATTCTAGGCTGGCAAACCACATGCAACACTGTGCTAGATATTTGGGCATAGAAACGCTTCCAGCTTACCAAAGCTTCACTTTCTGACTACCAAGTGGGAAGCCTTTCCTGCCAGAGTGAGTGGCTGTTTACAGGCCTAGTTTAGAAGCTAGCACATGTCCTGCATGGTGTGTGTTCTACTTTTCCAGCCTCAGAGAGATGCTATAATGAGAAGAGTGGTAAACTGTAAAGCTAAGTGCAAAAGTGAACCAGCTGTTCACCACTCTGTCAGTGATGAGACCTTCTTAAGCTGCAGTTTGGGAGTAAGTCTCTGAACTAGTAGGTCCTATGTCCGAACCAACATAAATAGATTACGATGCTTGCCTTACTGGTAACCCAAACAAGTGGCACAATTACTGGGTGCATTCCAGTACAGTTTGGTACTTGAACTCAATAATAGGAAGTTTGGAAGGAAGGAATCCCCCTCCCCTGCCCCTGCCCTATCAATGATTGATAACTGTTTTGGCTTTCTTAGTAACGAAATGGCGTGATTGCTGACTGTATGCTCTTCTCTTGGCAGATGAGCTGAAAGAACACTTGATAGGAGACCATGCCATTGACAGAATCTTCACTCTTGGCAATTCTGAATTTCCAGTGAGCTGGGACAATGAGGTGAAACTTTGGACATTCCTTGAAGCCAGAGCATCCCTTCTTTTGAAAACCTACAAGACCACTATTTCAGTAAGATTTTTAAAATCACGTAATAATTTCTAATAGTCATAAACCTTACTTTTCTTGAGCTAATTTCCTGGCTACTGGTAATGAGAGTGACTCTTTTAAAATTATGCCATTCCTGTGAGGGTTTCCTTCTCTGGCAGGAGCTATTTCTTTCCTCCTCCTGTGCCAGAGAGATGTTTATAGATGTGACTTAACTACTCATCTGTGACGCTGTCGGCTTTATTTAGCCTTTGATTTAAGCAGTGGATCTGAATTGGTCGTGGGCCATGATCTCAAGAGTGCCTGCTGGACTTCTGCTATTCTTCCTTGATAGCAACATTGAGCTGGGTTATAAGCATCTTTTGAAACTGGGTAGTTGTGAAAACAATTCCTTTTTTAGTAGCTGGGACCAAAGAAAGTTTGCTTACACTGGCTTTGTATTTAGAAGCACTTTTCATACAAACTTGGGAAGCTGCTCCATGGAGATAGAAACTCTTGCATGTTTTAGAGGTTCTTTGAATATTAAACCTTCTTTGTTAGACTGCATGATTCTGAGACGGTCTGATGCTTAATGTTACTTGCTGTCTCAAATGACTGTTCTCCCTTTCTGCTCATCATGCCTGGCACACCATCATAATACCACCGTTCTTCCTTCATATTCCATCTCAATATTAACTTCTTGAACAAATTCCTTGAGTTATTCCCTCATTGTTCATCTCCAACTGCAGCAAAGTCTAAATGTGCTTATAGCTTCATTTGTTCCTGGAAACTTTGTCAAGTTTTGAGTTGTAAACTCGCTGAGACAGAGACCACACATTCTTCAAGCTGTATACCTTTGCTTTCGCCAACTGGGTGCCCTCCAGATGTTTTTGATGACCATTTCCAGCATTCTTGACCATTGGACATGCTGGCTGGATGTGCTTAGAGTGGAAACCTGAACATCTGGAGGGCACCATGTTGGAGAAGGCATTAGGCACCACATGATGGCATTAATACTGCAATATATAAATCAGATGGCGTGGGCCACTTATGGAAGTATAGTCAAAACTGCCTTAGATGTTGATGAACATATTGTTTTGTATATTTCCTTTGCCATTTTAGGAGGACAGAGCCTTTTTAGAAAAACCAGGCCTTGCCTGTAATGCGACAATGGCTATTAAATTGCGTCTAGGTGAGAAAGAGATTTTGGAGAAAGCAGTAAAGAGTGCAGCTGCCAACCGAGAATACTACAGTAAACAAATGGCAGAAGGAGCTCTTCTCCCCAAGTATGAAGAGAGCAATATTGCACTGCTGGAGAATACTGTGGCAGGTTCAAGACTCCCAATTGTCTTGAGAAATTTGGAGGAAGATACAGATGAGCAGGAGGACTTAAAGATTGAGGAAACGATTGGTACAGAAACAAATGGATTTGTGAATGGTGACAATTCAATGCTTAATGGGACCAAATCGGAAAATGAAAACCTAAATCAAGAGGAAAGCAACAGAGAGACTGAAGATGCCAAAGAATCTTCTTCAGACAGTACTGATGAGGTTAAGGAATAGCTCTAAAATAGCTTTGACTTTATTGTGAAATTGAAAACTAGCAAGTGTTCTTTTTTCTTCTTCTTTGAACGGTGAATTGAATTGGTGTTTCCTAACAATTCTTTTTGCAGAGGAAAATGTTTTTTGCTGCTTTATAATAAAAATGGTTTTTAAGTTATTTTAAAAAAATAGCACCCCTTTTCTATTAAGATTGCCATCTTGCTTTTGGAAGATAGGGGTGGGTGAGGAAAAAAGGAGGAAAGATACCTTTGCCAGCCCTTGGGTGGGAATATATGTTTATTTCTGGGGGAAGAGTTCAGCTTCATCTGCTGTCATTCTGTTCTGTTACTCTGACTTCAAAAACCCAGTTTGCTTTTTGCAATTTGCCCAGGGAGGTGGTAAGGCTTGACTGACTATTTGTTACAAGCAGAGAGCAGAACAGCACAAGGAGTGGCTAGAAAGACTGAAGAGGTGGGAGAGGCTGAGGCTGTGTAGGGCCCACGTGCACTGCTTCCTGGAAAGGTAAGGTGGCAACCTTATTTTCATCAGGTTTCAAAGGATGAAAAAGAGCATAAATTATATTCTAATTACAGTGGTTCCTTTAAAAATGGTTTATTTTGTGTTTCAGTTTACTGTGCAAAAAACTTTATTCTCCCTGCCTTCTCCTTGAAATCAAAGTGTGCAGCTATTGTACATCCATTATTTTTTTAAGCTTGCCTTCCCCACCCTCCACTTTCTTTGAAATGGCACTGTTTGTTTGGTGAAGAAGTTGGAAGCAGTTCAGCCAGACTACAGCTTTAAAATGTGTTGTTCAAAGTGAGGTTGCTCTCAGCTTTTTCAGGTTTTCATAAATAGCTAGAGATTTTCAAAGCTACACTTTTGACTAAGAAAATTATTAAAAGTAAAACTTTAGTAATTTGTGTCTGCTATTGTTCATTAATGTTGCACGGCCATAAGCCCTGACATGTTTACTTGTGAACTAACATTAAATTTCAGCTTTGGACAAAGCCTCCACGGAAGTTGGTGTGGAAGTGGTAAGCAGCAATATTTTTGGATATGGATGCTTAGAGCCTGTTAATTTGGGGCACTATCCAAAGAAAGTTAGTTATATCCCTGTCCCATTTACACCAACCATTTATTCGTGATTTATCAAAAAACCGAGCTGTAACAGTTCCTTTTGCTTCCTTTTTGTTATTCTTTAAGAACATTTCTGTTTTCTGGCACACTTTTGATTGGACCCATGAAACTGTTACCCATTTTTTGTCCTAAGAAGTAGAATTACCCCTTTTCCCTCCACTAAAAAGCCAAGTTTTTAAAACACCAGACCCTTTCTTACAGCACAAATTCTGGGTTTTTAGGACTGGAGATGTGTTTTGGATTCAGCTGATTTAGACATATTTGGGAGATGTCTGAATCAAAATGAGACTCCTCTGAAGTGATCTGATTCCAAACATTCCATTTTCATACAGATTACAAAACAAATAAAACACATGGAAAGGAGATAAAGGAAATAAATCATTCCCCAACTCCACAAATCTGAATGCTCATGCTACTAAAAAAGAAAAAAAACCCCAAACCCCAAGAGAGAGCTTCAGCTATGGGCAGTATAGAAATGTAGTAAATAACAACTGCATATTTTCTGCTGTAATAGGGGGACATCCTTCTCTATCCCTCTTTTTTTGGAGAAAACCTTTAAACTATAAAGATTGCTCTAGGGCACACTTATTTAAAATATGGCAGATCTGTAAGGGCAACTATCCCTATAAATTTCATCTAATTATGCTAAGAAATAAAAATGATATTGGCAGTTCTTTGCAAAACAATAATTATTAAAATTGAAGAGTGTAGTATAAAAGACCCTTCACCTATTTGTCTGAGATTTGCAAGGCATAGTCCTCTCTTCATGGATAGTTAAACCTGAAAAATGTAATCCAAATCTGATGAACCAAAAAGAAAATCACAGCTGTTTGTTGGTTTCCAATGACTATTGCCCCTTCTTTAGCCTATGTGACTATTGGCAGGACTTGGGTGATCACATTACTAACCAGAAGGGCTTGCAGAATGTATGATGGACCTGTTTGGAGTCAGAAGCAGCTCAGTAGAATTTCTAGGATTGGGGCTGGAGCTTCAGTATTCTGTACAATTCCTGATTCCTCCCTAGGATGAGCAGAAGCAAAATAAGTAAATAGATGCAAACTTAATATTTGTGAAAATCATTTTGCAGAATTTTTGATCATTTTGACGTGCTGTTTTACTTCAAATTAGCCATAGCTGCTGGTTCTTTCCTTTATAATTAATCTGATTTTTAAAATATATCACTGCCATTCTGCTTTGGTATTCAGAATAACCATTAAAACTGTGAATCTTAAAACAATACTGTAAAATACTAATAAAAAAGGTTTCAGAGACTTCACTGAAAACTACAATAGTAATTACTGCATTTTTCAGCAAAGGATCTAGCTATTAATACCTTTAAAAACATACCACCTAAATTCAGGCCCTATGGTGTGGCCTGGCAAACATGCAGAAGAAATATTTTCATAATATATGTTCCATGTTCCACAATATGCATAAAAAGTTGGCACTAGGAGTTCACCTCTGCATTCTGGGAGCCAAAACCAGCCTCAGTAGAACATTCAGAACTTTGTTCAGAACAGGTGAGTGAATTCCCCAGACCCCACAGACTACCATCAAACATTATTTTTGTCATGTCTGGATTTAATTTTAGTCTATTCAAAAGAAAGATAGCGCTAGGAAACAGCCTCTTTTTCAACCAGTTAGTCCTCTTCCAAATCCAAAGCATCCAAATCATGGAAGCTGTGCTGCTTCTGGGTGTAGCAACAAGAACTGAGCATTGTTACTGGCCATATTGTACCATCCATGGTTTCTCTTCCCTCTTCTCATCAGCTGTGCAGGAAGAGGAAAAGAATAACATACAACTGGCAATATCCTGTTTCACTTAATTTTCGGGATATGGTGCAGCCATTACCCTCTGTTAGGTAGGAACAAAACTATTACTGTACAGGAGTCCTCCAATCCTCTATCAGTTAACATACTTGCAAATGATCTGATGGTTTAACATGTAGAGCTCTGGAGAAATACGGAATAGTCAGTCTGGTTATGGTCCCCATCCCCTTTCAGAGACAGAGACTAGCAAAGCAGTTTCAGTCTCAGACTTTGGATGCAGAAGATGGTTTCCTGTAAAGAACACTTTTAGTAGATCTGCAATTAAACAGTCAACTTCTGAAAAACGTATGTATTAGGTTATTCAGTTCGAAAGTGGGCATTTCAACACTTCTAACAAAAACAAATGAAAGCCTCCTTTTGATATTGGACAGATTAATCCCTCGGGCAGGCACTCGTTAAAGTATAGCGAATACCACTCATCCCTCCTAGCTTGGTTTCATGAGCCAGAACGCTCACGACTCAAGTGCACATTTCTTTGGCTGAACCACACCAAGACCTGTTTCAACCACACCATTGGGAAAATCAACTGAAAGTGATCTAAGCATTAAGGATGATCCCACCCTGCACAAAACATGGCTCAGGCCAGAGTTAAACGTCACAGGATACGCATGCACTGGTATACGATGGGGCAGCACCTCCTGCCCTCACATTTGTACATGTGAAAGCTACCTCAGGATTGCAGTCCATCACACGCAGACAGTGAGATGTGGTTTCTAAAGCTCATTCTGTGCTACTCAGGCTTTGTGTTCACTTTTGGACTCTGCACTTTAAAAAGGATGTAGAGCAGGAGTTCCCAACCTGGGGTGCCCGCACCCTCAGAGGGTGCAACAAAGGATGGCAGCGTTACAAATTGCCAAAATTGGCAAATTGCAACTTTTTCACCAAAAATATCCCAATAATAAAATTATTATTTTGTTTGCCTTTGGATTCAGTTCTCTCTCTGTCAAGACAAAATCTAGGGATTGCCTGAACCTACAGGTAGACTTCTGGATTGCAGTCAGCAAGAATGTTCCACGTTTTGACAAAATTGTGAATGAGAAGCAGGAACGAAGAAGTCATTGAATTTTATGTTGACAATTGAGATTGGCTTTACTGTTTACAATTTTTCTCTAATTGTTCAATTTATATTTGAATTTTATGCACTGAGTTCTTTTTTTAGTTCAATTTGTGCACCTGCAGTATTGTATGTGGTTCAATTTGTGGTTCAAAAATTATAAAATTGACTTCATCTTCAAATGTGACATTACTTATGTAGGGGGTGCAAACATCTTCTTGGGGTACAGGGCAAAGAAAGGTTGGAAACCACTGATGTAGATAGATTGAAATGGGATCAGTGGAAGGCAGTGAACATGGGAGTATGAAAAATACATCACATGAAAAAAGCTTGAAGGAACTGGGTATATTTAAGCCTGGATGAGAAAAGACATGATCACATCCTTGAACTAGAAAAGGGCTAAGACAGTTCTGCTGCTCTAGAAGGTAAAACTGGATCAAATGGGTTTAAGTTACAGGAAAGTAGATTTTGGTTGACCCTTAAAAAAGCCTAATGGTAAAAGCATCTCAACAGTGGAGCCCATTACTCGTTGGGGTCAGTGTCTCCCTTGTCAGATGTGCTAATTCCAGGTTCCCTGCACTAAGCAGAGGATTAGAGTATAGAGCCTGCAATATGTACTCCACCTCTGTGTGCTGGTGAGAAGAGCTTCTTTGCACGGTTTTCCTTTCTATACCAATAAGGTCTACTGCTATTAATTGCTTGATACCACATAATATGACCATACTATGAGTTTCTCCATCTGCACAGGCGTCCAGTAACAAAGTTGGAGGTAACAAATTCACAGTGACAACAGACCCTGCCAATTGCTTTATTCGTCAGCTTCAGGCAAAGGAGATGTGGGACTTGGGTTTTAGGCTTCAGGCATCTCAGAATGCAATCTTGCCTCACCTGGTATGTTCCAGAAATTTTGGGTGGCGATTGTTGGGTGATGGGAATTGTAGTCCAAACCATCTGGAGCATACCAGTTTGATGAAAGCTGTTATAATGTTGGGTTCCAGCTTAAATAGTTGCCTTAAAGAAGATGTCCTCTTGAGTTAAAAAAAAAAAGAACCTGGCAAACATATCACAGCTTTTAAGACCATGTTTTCACAGCCACAGAAAGCAAGCGCTGATGTTCTGTTACTGAACAGCACTTGCAATTTCAGCATAGCTACTATGAGCCTGTGCAGAGTGCATTTCACCAATTAGTAACCAGATTCCTGTCTAACAACAAAGGAGGATGGTTCCAAGTAGAGCAGGCTCAGGGAAATTCTTCAAACACTAATATGAAAGGCAGTTGTTGGTGAAATGCATGGCTCATTCCTATTCCTGGTTGATATTTAACAAAGGTTATACAAATGTTAAAATATTTCTCTGGGATATTAATGCCCAACTCCTTAACAAAAAATACCCAGAGTGGCTTTTACAGGAAATGTTTTTATCAATTTTTATTGTACTGTACCCAGAGAGCCCCAGCTATTGGGTGGTTTGTTGAATGAATGAATGAATGAATGAATGGCATCTAAAATATGAAAGCCAGCAAACCATACCAGACAAAAACCCCACAAAGCCAACAGCTATTCAAAACAATATGAAAAAGCAGGAGAATACACTAATCAATATATTTAATAAGCCCACTTAACACAATAAGAAATTAATTTTCTCTATCAGAGGCCACTCCAAGCCATTTCTCCATGAGAAACAATTTCTTGTAGGAAAAGAGCTGTAGGCATACAGTGAAATAAATAGGTGAGAAAATAGTTTTCTTACTATTTTCCTCATGCAGAACCCTTTTTGCTTGGGTAATCCTTGAAGCCCCAACTGTAGTCAGAATGCATTATATTCTGTCACTCTATGCTTGACTGTAGAGGTTTTATTCTTTTAAAAGCGGCATGTAATGAAGTGGGGCAGCGGCAGGACCTGATGCCAAGGCAAGAAGTGCTTAGCAGTTCCCAAAGCCATCCGATCTGTACAGAAACACACATTCCCAGAAGACCACAGGTCAGCAAGGCACAGAGGAGGGCGCTCCATTGGCTCGTCCAGTTCCAGAAGAGCGCAAGAAGAGCTGTGCTGGTCCAGACCAAGGGTCCATCTGGTCCAGCAGTCCGTTCACACAGCGGCCACCCAGCTGCGCACAGGCAACTTGCAAGAGGATACAAGTGCACCAGCCCCTTTCCATGCAGCCCTTGGTGTACTCAGGCACGTCGCCTATGATACCAGAACTAGCACATGGCCACTGGGACTTGGGGCCATTGATGGCCTTCCCCATGAATTCGTCCAATCCCCTTTCTGGGAGTGCATTAAACTGTCCTTAATTGCTCCATATTTCCCCATGTCATGTTTTCTGAGCTAAACAGTCCTAGGTTTCATAGCCTTTCCTCATGAGTTTCTCCAGCCCTTTGGTCATTTTAGTTGTCCTTTTCTACACTTTCCCCAGCTCTATACCATTTTGGAAACAAGTGTTTTGGCTTGTTTTTAGGGTTCTCTTAGAAAACATCAGTTCCTCTTGCACTGGCAGCAGTACTGGATACCTCCCATGATGGAAAGTATCCAAAGCCATATTGTCAAACCAGTTAAGTCAGGGGTCTCAAACTCAACTTACCTGGGGGCCGCTGGAAGTAGAGTCTGGGTGAGGCTGGCTGCATCAAGTATTCCACCACCGCGGTGGTGGTGGGCTGCTCATCCCGCGTCAGGCGCTTTGAAGGCCGCAGGGCCCCTCCCCCGTGCCCCGCCTGTCCCAGCAATTGGCCCGCGGGCCGCCAGTTGGAGACCCCTGAGTTAAGTCATTCTCTGCTCCAGGGTGCATCAAAACACATGCATCAACCCATGTATTCTTCAACTCTTTCAGTGCCGTATTTAGCACTCTCAATCCTATCCCTAATAAATGTGCATGGGATGGATTTCTGTACTGGGCAATGCTCTTGCAAAATGAATCTGCCTTCCAAAACCTAGCATGTAAGCTGCTGAGGAATCTTGAGAATAATATCTAAAGTAGAGCCAGGGTGTCTTACAGCAATTAATTTAAGTGATTGGATGCTGGGGATGGTTTAGTATAATTGCACACAGGTAGTAATTTATTAAGGTGGCTGTTTCTTTTGGCATATGTCAAAAAGGTCAGAGTCTATACTTTTTTTTTGGACATTAACCTAGTCTTCTGAAACTCAGAAATCCTACTTTTTGGTCATTAATTTCATACATGCTGTGATGGTGACAATTAACCCACTTAATAAAGGTCAAGTTTCAATTTTTTCCAATTTCTGGAACACTTAACTTTATTCCTTCTTGAAAATGGGCAGATTACTGGATGATAAATAGCTATTAAATGAGTTCAGGAATGTAGCCGTGCTGTCAGGATAGCTGTCGAACAGTTGGCAACGAAAGGAACAGCATTACTGTATCTAATAGGCCAAAGA